ATTATCGAGAAACCCCTGACGCCGACCGACCCACCCCGGTTTGTTGCGGCGTCAATATAAGCAGGACCCCAGTCGGCAGAAATCAGTTGGAGCTGAAGTTGAGTTGAAGTTGGAGTTAGGTTGGGCGTGAGTTGCAGTTCACCCTCGGACGACAGAAGAATCCTCGAAACAAGAAATCCTTCCAGCCCAAGTTGAAGACAAGAAATCTTCCACCGAATTGAAACAAGAAATCCTTCCAGCCCAAGTTGAAGACAAGAAATCTTCCACCGAATTGAAGCAAGAAATCTTCCACTGAATCGAAGCAAGAAATCTTCCACTGAATCGAAGCAAGAAATCTTCCACTGGGTTGAAACAAGAAATCTACCAGTCTAAACAAACGAAGAAGAAGAAATACAGTTCACGTCGAAGAGAAGAACCAACTGCGAACGACCGATAGAAATTAGCCCAATGTCGAACTGAACCACACGCCGACATACATACATGATTCTAGAAAGTAGGTAGTTCGACATTTTTTTTTTTTGCTATTTTTGTGATAGAAGCTTGGTGCCATAGTCCACAGAGCGGGTCGGGAATTGAGAACAATTTTGTTTTTATGTAACGGACTTTAAGATATAAAAGGTTGTTACCCTTTTATCAGCAATTTTGTTTGGTGTCGTGAGTTTTATTTTATTTGTGTTTTGCCACCCCCGTCGGACTCAACTTGTATCGGCCCCGATCCCTGCTGGTCCCGTCTGTCTAAGATCTAAACACAGCGTGGGTAGACAGACCGGAGATCGGTATAGTTGCTTTAGTGACCAGGTATTGGAAGCGAGTCGGGAAAGGCGAGGCTGGTGATCATCTGACCAAAGGGTTGGAGCGGCACGCTTGGACCCAGGAGGAGCGACCAGGAGGAGCGACGTCACCGTTGGCGCCGTAACCAAAGGATCCGACACTGGGCCAGGTGTGTAAACGTCACAATATGTCATAGATGTGTGTAAGCGAATATCTATGTATAAGCGTATTTATTTATAAATGTATACATATGCTTATCGTATCTGTATCTTAATGTAATTAGGCGGCAATTGTTCATTGAAATTAGTTTTATACAGAGGGTAATATAAAGGAAAGCTCGAAGAAAGGACAAAGCATCAATCGTAATGAGACAGAATTTATGGTTGCCATCAAAAGGAACTGATCAACATGCAAATTAGAACTAAGAGACACCAAAATCAAGCAAATACAAATATATGTAGAGTGTTTATCTACGAATTGTTTTAACAAAGGCTGGAAAATGCGGCACTGAAATCCGAAGGCACATTTTTATGGCGAAAATGCCTTCCAAATGTTGAGCAAAATATTAGGTTGGTGCAAAAATAATGACGTAACAATGTCGTTTTTTGACGTATTTTTAACGTTAAAAAACGACATTATTACGTCATTATTTTACACCAACCTAATATTATGGAACTGAAAAATTTCGTTAGAAAGAAAGAAAAGAGTACTGAACTGTTATATAATATTTGTTATCCTCTATAGAAGTAAACATCGGTTTTGTACAGTCATTAACAAAAGTTTAAAACTGCCTTGTAATTTAACCATCTTAAAGTTAAAAACAGCACAGCAACATGTCATTTAAAAAACTAAAAACTAAAAGTAAAGAATTAAGAAGACAGAATGCATGGTTGTTACAAAAGGATACAAATGACAAATTGTAGATGAAATCAAAAAGTATACAAATTTAAACATCTGGACAGCGTTTAAATAGAGGACAGAAACTGTGACACTGAAATCCGAAGGCGGATTGGCTAATCTAAAGATGCTTTCCAAAAGCTAAGCATAGTATTAAGAATCAGGAAAAAAATCGTTAGAAACAAAGAAAATTGTAGTGAACTATTTACGTAATATCAGTCCTCCTATATGGCAGTGAATGCTGGACAATCTCTTCACAGTTGAAGAAGAGACATGGAGAAACATGCTGAGAATAACATGGACCGAAGATGTGATCAACGACAAAGGTTTAGAGAGTCAAAAAAAGACAGGAAATATCAGTAAGAGAGAGTTAAAAATTCTATGTCACATCATGAGCCAATAAGGCTTGAAAAATTTGATACTCACAGGAAAGTTTGACGGTAAAAATGGCGGAGGAAATCCACACCAAGGATTTTTAAGAGAGATAACAAAAAAAGTCATGATCGCCTACGCTCTGAAATGATATGGCGCATACTTGAAGAATAAGAACAAGTATTCTACGTGAGACTGGCTAAATTTAACTCACAAATTTGTACAGAATGACGTGATTGATTCATTTAATCATTTCACACAAGCAAGGCGATAATGCCCCTAAGACATAAGAGATTACAGGGAGTGAAGGATAAGACGTGAGTGATGAGAAATGACAATAAAAAAACACGTTCTGAAAGAGAAAAGATGGAGACAGATAGATAGATAGATAAATAGATAGATAGATAGATAGATAGATAAGGCAGAAGGTTAATGAGATGAACAATGAAGAAAATATCAATTTTTTCACACGTAAATATTGACCCCATAATCTACTTCCGGGACAACGTAATAAATTAAGCTAAGAATACTTGTCCCGAATAAAACTAATCCTAAACCAGAAACAAGATACACACCTCTACTCCTGTTCAAAAGACCGGCCAATTTCTCAGTTCACTTTCTTCCTCTGTCTTTTGAACAGTAGTAAAAAATCAGTTGTTTCCTGTGTAGGATTGGGTTTCCGGTTCCTTCTAAATCTTCTAATTTTCTTTCACTCTCAGTAGCCCCATGCGTCGTAGTGTCACTATCACCTTGCTTGGGTTGAATTGATTATATATATATATATATATATATATATATATATATATATATATATATTGTGAAAACGTTAGCTGAATATTACTTGGCATACTTTTAAAAAATGTTTAAAAACAAAATGAAAGCAGAAAAGAACCGGTTTAGCTTCCGCTCTTCAAAGGTTTTAATCTGGAGAAAAAGAGTAAAAAATACAATAAATCTAAATTAGTGAAAAATTGATGAGAGAATAGAGAAGGCAGAAAAAAGCGGGGAGTACTAGAAACTAATGATAGCAAACCCCAGCAAACAATCACGCTGTTTACAGAGAGACGGTTTGCAAGACTTTATATACAGTGACTCTAGTACGCAATTTGTATTAATGTAATATGTTAATAAAATCCTCATGTTATAGTTATATTTACATTAGTCATATGTTAAAGAAGTTTCGGCTTTAAAATTTATCATTTTCAAAAATAATGTTAATAACTTGTTATTATTATAGGGGGTGCAGAACAAGTTCGATTATACCAAACATGTCCAACATAAGATTTTATTAATAACTAAATCAAAATATTAACAGCGTCCACAGAAATATATTTGATTAACAATATCCCAATACCAGAACAGATTATTAGTTTTCATGTTAATATCGGCGATTTAATATTTTCAAGTACATCACATTAATGATGAATTATTATCATATACATCTCGTTTTATTGCAGACCATAAAAGTTCTACTGGATTAATATCTGGAGATGATAGTGGATATTCCATTAATTCGCTGTCTTAGAAACATTTTCGCGATGCAGGAAAAGTCTGCCTTGCAGAATCTGAAGTAACACTGTCGCGCATTAACATACATTATAGCTTGTGATCCATGCCATGCAAATAGCATCTTCTCTTAGAACTTACAATAACCCTTTGCATTTTTATTGTAACTTTAGCAAAAGTGAAATTAAAATTTTCCTGTCAACAGAATTAATTCATCTCCTGTGCCTTTTGTCGAAATCGATTGATTGACAATTTATGAGAAGGACTAGTATTCTAGCATTAACATTCCCTACGAAAAACGGTAGAGTAATGGATAGTGCTCGGATTGAGGAATCGGAGAGCCGAGTTCGAAATCCGATCGAATCCATTACATTCACATACGTGATAATACCCTTGGGAAAGGTATGAATCTTCTCTCCCAGCTAGGAGTAAATAGCAGTAAAGACCGGGTTCTAGAGCCAAAAAGAAATGGCAACCTACTGCAGGAAAAAATCTGCCTCGTCAGTCAAAAATACATTATCGCCTAAGCGTGTATCACGCATGACACGTAACTGACTGAGTAAAATCTTCTTACTACGGATGTCAATGTACTTATAATGAAGTTGGTGTACGATGCACGATGACATAGGTACTCACAGTTGGGATATGATTGACCTTGAACACCCAAGTCTTTCAATATAACTCAAGATAAAGCTTTTCAAAACAGAATGATCTGGAATTGTAATGAAAGCTTAGATGACGTGAACCCTGAATCCATCATAAAAATCCATTAGTCAAAACTAAACGTTTCAAATACCTTGGTGTATGGATTCGTTTTAACAAATTTAGTATAGAAGAAAAGGAACTTCAACATAGAAAAGTTCGCGTTAGAGATAATTTTGGCCAAACCCCGCAAATTGCTATAAAACCAAATCATTTACCTGAAATGTAGTCTTTTTATTAAATAGCCTCATCAGATCGACACACACACACACACACACACGCACACACACACACACACACATATATATATATATATATATATGTGTGTGTGTGTGTGTGTGTGTGTAACTCGATCAGAAATGTCTAAACTGTCATTTGTAAGCAACTGCTTTCTAATGGTTAATGCTTAAAATGTCTTTGAGCTAGTGAAGCCAGTGGGTTTTGGTGAAGACCATCCCTCTTTGAATATTACAGCCTGGCAGTACAGAATCACAAACGAAGGGCTATACCAAGACTATCAGCACCAGCAAATAGTTAAACTGGACAACATATCATTTTATAAATTTCAAATGACAGTAGCACTGACTGCTCGGTCAATGACTGCCGAATGTTTCCTTATAAGAAAACGACTACCATTGCCAATCTATTTTTCTTGGGAAGTCAGGGATTTAGACTACGCAGAGGCACTTGATAAGTTTCGGATCGACGCTTATTATCTTTATTTGAGTGTATGTAAAGCCAAATCAATGTGATTAAGACAGAAAGAGAAAATGAAATTCTGGTATAAATAGATGGGTACAGAGATAGATAGATAGATAGATAGATAGATAGATAGATATCTACTTTAAGCTACAAGCAGTCATCCCTGAACAGCAATAATGTAACACTGTGTTCGCCTTGGTTGCTTATCTCCGCAATACGCCTGCCTGCTTAAGTTTAATTATACTGTGTTTTAATGAGAAAACAATGAAAAATAGATATCATTATTATTATTCGAATTGTGGAACAAATGAAGTAGAAAACGCGAGTAATATACATGTATTAATATGCATTATATGCTGTGGAACGAAAAATATTAAAGATAGCGGAAAATAAACCTACAGTCCCTCAAAAATGATGATTAAATAAAAGAAGCGCTTAAGAAAAACACGAAAAAAAGGAACGAAACAAAATTACGACAAAAATGAAATAAACGCTGATGAAACACAGCCAACAATATGTTTTCAATTCGTTTCAAAGTTATTGTTATATTTTGCTCATCTCTCTCCGTAGTAGTAGTCGTAGTACAGTTCTCCGTGTCCTAAATAGCAACCGGGTTTGCTAGGCATAGCCCTTACGTTCGCCAGTTGTTATCTATTTATACTTGCCTCTCTAATTTTCATTCGATACTACACCTCCCTGAATTGGAGAGGTCGTGTACCCTTGTTTTTTTTTTCTTTTATTATTCCTAACTATTTTCCTATTGTTCTGTCCTTCCTCTTGTTTTTCTTGTTTTCTCTTTAATGGTGACCTCTCTCGGTCTTTGTGTATTTTCATTTTTACACACTTGCAAATGCAGCAAAAGTTCTTATCCATGATGTGTATGCGTTCTGGGTCGTCCAGCTATAATAACGATTCTATCAGCGACACAATTGTCATGTTTTGCATATCTCTCTGCGCAGTAGTAGTCGTAGTACAGTTATCTCTGTCCTGAATAGCAACCGGGCTTGTTAGGCAGAGCTACCCTGTTCGCCACTTTATTCTCTATTCATACTTGTCTATCTAATTTGCATACGATACTACAGTATAGATAAAATACTATATTTCAAACATTGAAACGAACTGAAAGCGTAGAAACAAAACAACATAATAAATTATGAAATCGCAAATAAAAATATGTGGACTTAATGAAAGCAATAACGAAATGAATGAAAGAAGAAATAAACAAAAAAAATGAATTAAAATGGAAATTGTGATTGTATTGGTTTTCAACACCAAAATAGTCAGTAATAGTATTGTCATGAATAATCAAGAGTGGTTTCCCCTTGTTTTGATGCCCTCCTCTTTCAAAGAACTATTTCTGTTTATGGGATTATTAAATGACATTATCCGCGAACCTTGTATTCTCGGTTAAATAAAGCTTTCTTAAAGCATACACCTGCGTACTTTTATCATTACAAGTATTAGTGCTAGATTTTTAGTAATAAAAAGGAAATGGAAGTAAACGCGTCAGACATTTTTAACTCGCTGGATGTGTTGTTCTGGTTTTATTGATACACTTCGTACAAAGGGTTTTGTAAAGAAGAACGAACAAAGAAAGTATGAGTAAGAAATAAAAGGCCAACGCGAGAAAGAGTGGCAGTTAACAAAAAGGTTTCTAAAAAAAAAATAAACAGAATTAAATAAAATGAAGTTAACTTCAATAGTGAAAAAGAAACGTGTTAATTTGCAGATGAGGACCGGCTCTGAGTCTCCATTAAAAAAATTCCCGATTACTTACATATAGGGGTAAATGTACATGCTTCATTCGAAAATGACTTGATAAATTAGATAAAATCTACAGCTTTGGAGTTATCGAAAGTAAAATTCGGACTCATTCGCGTCGTTGGCGGAATCCATCACTGGCGTTGTTTTCATACATTCACTGCAGAATGCTAAGCGCAGAAGAACGTAGTTAAGGGCCTTTTTTTTAATGATATTACTTTTCTCAACCTATCGCAGTTATTGCGCAAGAGAACTATATTGCCTGCACAATAATCAAGACAAGTAAATATTCCACTCATAGCTGCCCGCAGTAAATGTATGCAATAAACACCAAGAATGGCTGCTGCGACGCGAATGAACCGAAGTATTCGGCATTTTTTTATTGGAAAATGAGCGCGGGTCCTAATATGCGAATTAACCAACAAACATTGCGGTGAAGGAATTATTAGCAGGAATAATTTGGCAGACAGTTTTTTTCTGAACTGACATCGATCTTCATTTCATGCTTCCACACTTTGGCCTTATGCCAGACTAAACAAAGTTGATATAATATTTCTATTTCTCTTAGGAGTAAAGGTTGCGAAGCTTGTTTCATAAAGCATTACGATCTCATTGAGTTCAATCGATATTGGATTCACTTTTTTACTTAAATAAACATAGAGAATATCAAAGTTGGAATAAAGTGTTAAAAGAAAATATCTAGAAAAAAGAGAAAAAAAGAATTCGAAGTAAACTCCGGAAGAAGAACAGCAAGAGATGAAAAGAATGCAGGCAACATTAAAAGCGATAAACGATGAACAGAGAGACAGAGAGAGAGAGAGAGAGAGAGATAGAGAGAGAGAGAGCCAAAGAGCCAAAGAGAAAGAGAGGAACGAAAAAAAAAGAGAGCGAAAGACAGATAAAACGAGAGAACTAAAGAAAATGAAATAGAAGGAAAGTAAGAGAAGGAGAAAGAATAACGGAGAAAAAAATAACGAAGAAAAAAAATAACATGAAAAGAAAGAGAAAAGAAAAAACTGAAAACAAAAAGAAAAGGAAAAGAAAGGAAGATTGTGAAGGATATATATATATATATATATATATATATATATATATATATATATATATATATATATATAAAGAGGGAATGAAAGAACACGATATACTGTCAGAAGGAGGGAGAAAATAGAAATAGATATAGAGTGAAAGAAAGGAAGTAGGTGAAAGAAAGACGGAGAGACAGTACAAAAAAAAAGAAATAGAGAAACAAAGAAAGAGATAGAATAAGAGAAAAAGAGAGATAATTATTGAAAAAAAAAATTGAGCGGAAAAGAAAAAAGAAGATTGTAAGACAAACAGTGAAAGTGTAAACGAAACAGAAAGAAAGTAAAATGAGAGAGAATTGATGCAAGATGGCGCTGCTTTCATTCGAGTTCACAATGAGGCTGGGGCAAGGAATGCTGGGAAGGGAAAGATAGGAAAAACGAGGATCACAGCAGGAAATGATAATTAAAAGAAATGCCAGAACGGGAGTAGCGATTAAATCTTCACTGGCATCATATAAGGAAGGGAGGTTAATAATGAGAGAAAATGAATGACCCGCGGGTGATGTATGTTCACGGGTGAGACCAAATGAGGAAATAGGTGTCTGCAAAAGAGGTGTAGTCAGCTTAAGCGAATTACTGGTGCTTTCAACCTGTGTAGATACAAAAGAGACTCCCACATATACACAATTAGAGAAAAAACACATGCTGCTTAAGAACATACGCATATTATTACTAAAGATATAAAATATATACAAAGATACACACACACACACACACATATATACATATATATATATATATATATATATATATATATATATATATATATATATATATGCATGTATTGCATTTTTTCATTTATTCATTTATAAATCCGACATATTTTTGTTATATTGTATATATATATATATATATATATATATATATATATATATATATATATATATATATACACGTCATATTTTAGTTCATACTAGTGTCAGATGAACCGATGTCTGAACAAATACAATTGTCATATTAAAATAATATCCAATATTCCTTAGAAATATGTGTAGGTTCATAGTATATATATATATATATATATATATATATATATATATATATATATATATATATATATATATATATGCATTTCTTTCTTCAGCTTTTATATATCTATGTCTATCTCTCTCACAGTCTCTCTCTCTCTCTCTCTCTCTCTCTATATATATATATATATATATATATATATATATATATATATATATATCGTGAGAATGTATTTTTCATTTATTCATTTATTAATCCGACATATTTTGTTATATTGTATATATATATATATATATATATATATATATATATATATATATATATATATATATATATATATATATATATATATATATATATATATATATGCATATTTATTTTAGTTCATACTAGTGTCAGATGAACCGGTGTCTGAACAAAAATAATTGTCATATTAAAATAATATGCAATATTCCTTAGAAATATGTATATGTTTATAGCAGACAGAGATAGATAGATAGATAGATAGATAGATAGATAGATAGATAATGTATATATATGTATAAAGAGAATGAGAAATAAAGAAAAAGAATGTGTGTTAATTAGATTGCTTGACAAATAGATGCAGATATGAAGAATTGCATGTTTAACAGAAATGTAATTATGAACGTGTAATCGTCACTTGCAAAAAGTTACTCGTTCCAGAGAACGATCCGAACATCTATTTCTTTCCTTCTGTCTGTCTGTTTGCATGTCTCTGTTTATCTCTTTCTCTCTTCTTCCATGCACACAAAGGCATGCACAAGCACACACGCGCGCACACACACACACACATATAATTGTCATATATATATATATATATATATATATATATATATATATATATATATATATATATATATATGCTTGACAAACAGACAGAAAGGGGGAAGAAACAAAGAAAATGGACGATTGTATAATAAGGATTTTTCTCTTTGCTTTTATGTCTTCCAATTTTTTTCAGCCTCGTTCTCTTGCTTTCTTACTCAATTTATATCTGCCTCTGTGTGTGTGTGTGTGTGTGTATGCTAGTGAAAAGAGGGACAAACAGACAGACAGAAAGAAAGGACGAAGAGATAAAGAACGTAGACAGAAATAGAAAGATTCCATAATAACGATTTACTATGTATTACGATTATTGCTGGGTTCCCTTACATTCTTGCACTCGTTCTCTCATTCTCTTTATATCTTCCTCTTTCATACTCGTCCTGATATCTATCTATCTATCTATCTATCTATCTATCTATATATATATATATATATATATATATATATATGTCATATTGTTGAAACATTTAGGAAATAAGTATTGCTATATATATATATATATATATATATATATATATATAAATATATATATATATGAATAGCACTACTTCTTTTGTGCATGCTTCAATAATACGACTGATGTAACGACTGAGTCTTTGTAGAAAGTCCCCTTCGTGTTGTGTTGTTGATCCCAGTCCACTTTCTATATTTGCCATTTTCAAGGTTCATTTTCGGATTCATTTTTCTGGTAAAGAGATTTAAGCTTCGTTTTCGAAAACAACAAAAACTGAATAAAAAATACTTATTACTTCTTTGTCATATTTAATTAAGTATGCGCAAGCAAACACAGACACAGATACACACACTCAGGGAGGCACACACGTAGTTATACATACATAGAGACACAAGCACACACATCCAAACCCACATGGCCTACGGCCATATCACGTTGAAACACCGGTTTTCGTACGATTATCAAACTTAAGAAACGTCGAATCCGGTTAGTTCCTAAGTGGGTGCATCTTGAGAATACCAAGTGCTGTATGCTGGGATGTGAAGAGGTTGCGAATTAATGGATAACGACTGGGAATTGTAAATCGGAGAGCCAAGTTCCAATTCACGTAGCGTTCGTTATATTCGCGCACGCGCAAATAACATTTGGAAAGGTATAGATTCACTTCTCTTACTACAACTTGCATCAGTAAATCATTATTATCTTCCAAAAATTCTTAAATTATTTTCTGGTTTTAAATAACCTGCGAAAGGTTGCTAAGCAGTAAAAACAAAATCAATCACACACACACTCACACACACACACACCTGTATATATATATATATATATATATATATATATATATATATATATATAATACTCAAAATGTGTGTCTGTATGTTTGTGCGCGTGATCGGATGTTGTTTATGTTGTTCATGATGACGGTCGTCTTTGAGTATAGAATCCAGAATTTTGCAGTGAATATTTCGAAGACAGTATGGAAGCGTAGTTCAGGTTAGCAGTGGATATCCCGGTAAAGTAGCAGAGTCGTTCTTCCTTCTGTTCCTCTTCGCCTGACAAGTTGGCACTGGACATTCGGATAGAGTAAACAAAATGGCCGCCTTTATACACGACGGATTGAATATTCTACGTCTTCTGATTGGTTAACCTTCTATTGGTGGACTATAAAGTGAGTCAAGTAATTTGGGTTGGCTCACTAGTTTAATGTATCCAAAAATTGTAACAGTTTTTGCATTTCCACAATTTTCATTCGCTTTTGATAATTTTTTTTTTGTTTCTTTGATAAATAATTCTTCAATGCCGGTTTTGAGTTCAAATTTTTTGGCGATAATGGTTCTCCACTACTTCTTGTCCAAGCGACGTTTTACTATTTAGTAGCTGTTCTTGGATATATATCTTTCATAAAAACTTTAATTAAAATATATAGTTTAAATTATTACAATCGTAAATCTATAAATCTCAAAATGTGTGTGCATGTATATGTGTGTGTGTGTGTGTTTTGATCGGATGTTGTTTATGCCTTTCCACAGTATTCATCCGGACGCTTCTGCGAGAGGCTGAAAATGATGTTCAAAGAACTCAACGGCTGAGGAGAAACGCCTCTTCAACTGCTGCTGCGCATGAGGCTGAAAAAAGATTGAGAAAGCAAAAACGGTCCTTTTCACTACCCCACCATTCAAATTTTTACCCCCCCCCATTTGGGAATGTACCTCACTTGCACATTAAACTTAAACTGCTCCAACTGAACGGCTAAAATTCCCAGTAATGAAAGACCCGGCCGAAGACGAGTTATTTGCTTGTCTATATATATATAGACCGAGTGCCACATCAAAATTGTCCAGTTGTTAGATTAAGCTCTGAACGTTGTATGTTAGAAATGATTAAAGATATTTTACTGGAATTTTCCGGGGTTTTTATGACACTATTCGACTTTACTTTCCGCAATAAGAATGTATAATTCTCAGCCCAACTCAATTTTCAAAGTCTAACCAATTTTACATTGATTTGTTCCAGATCTAAGCAACACCTCATATATATATATATATGTGTGTGTGTGTGTGTGTGTGTGTGTGTGTGTGTGTGTGTGTGTGCACGCGCGTCTGTGTGCGTGCGTGTGTGTGTGTGCGCGCGCGCGTCTGTGTGCGTGCGTGTGTGTGCATGTGTGTGTGCGTATGTGTGTGTGTGTGTGTGTGTGTGTGTGGAAGTCGGTATTGAAATCAATACCAAGAGGCGAGAGGTTGTTTCATGTTAAACGCAATCGTCAGGCCATTACAACCTCAAGGTGTTGACTTCAATGTCCATTTATATATTTACATTTACTCTGTCCCTGATATTGAGCATTTTAACCCATAAATATAGCATAACTTCAGACAAACTTTTATAATAAGTGCGTGTTTGTGGGTCATTACTTTTATAATAACCCTTTCTAGTTCTCTAAATGGTTTCTTGCTGATAAGATGAAATTCATTATGGAAGACGCCATGATGTTTATTTTTTCCACTCAAGTACTTTCGATCTCCTCCGTGATCATTCTCGCAGGAGGATTACAAAACAGAACTTATTGTAACTGTGATCGGTGTGATGGCGTTTTTTGTTTTGTTTTTGTTTTTTTAAATCACCAGTCAACACGCACTGATATAAATATTTTAAACTTTAAAATTTATCCGTTGTAGGTATGGAATTTATTTGTAAAACATGCGTCCCGATGTAAAGGGGTTAACCAAAAATGTGAAATGGCATTAAATGTGGGTTAAACACACATCAAAACGTTGTTGCTACACTCGTACAAAGGTTTTTTTTTCAGTGTTGGTTGGTTGCTTTTGAAAGAGATGACATCGAGAATTTGAAGTTCTTGTTTATTACTTTTATGGTGTAGTATATTGATGTTGTCAACAAGTATTTTCCTGCATTGTGAAGCTGGACAGGAATGCGTTATTAAATGCGTTTCAATAGAAGCTGTATCAGTCAAATGAAGTTTAAGACAGCTTCATAATGTTGTAGTCGTCAAACCAAAATATGTAGTTAGAGAATGGATTAGAGAACAAGAAAGGATTATTATGAAATAAAATAGATATGCTGCATATATATATATGTGTGTAAGTGTGTGTCTGTCTGTGTCTGTGGGCGTGTGTGTGTAAGTCCCCATCTGCTAGAGTCGTGATTTACTTTTCAGCAAACCTGATTAACAGCAGATTATTAAACGTTAGAATAAGGAAACTTTCAATCTCATACAGGCGTAGAATCATTCATTATATATATACAGGGCGTGATGGGTAAATTATCGCCATTTTAGATTCTTAATTTCGCGCATGCGCTTTCTTTTTTTCTGATTTCGTCGACTGCACAGTAGAGGGGGCCAGTTGGGCACCATCTGTGAGAAAAAAAAAGAGCACCATGACGCAATTCACTCCACCAGAAATTTGGAAACAGCATGACATACTGGTTGGCATTCGCACCGGAATCTCCAATACGAACATTTCAAAGTGTTTGGGTGTCAATCTGAGGAAAAAGTTGGATGAATGTAATAGTGATTACGAAAGTGTTTGGAGTGAACACTCATTATGCCTACATTCATCTTCACACAGGGTCTCTGATTCAACTTGGAGGTCATCATGTGCCTTGAGGAGCTATTGCTGCCCTGGATCAAGAGGGTGGCAGCTGTAAAAGCCTATGCCTGTCAACAGGAATTTGCACCATGCCATACAAGCAGAAGAAACTAGTAATGGCTGCTTGGCAATTTCTGCGATCATATCACCACTTACATCTGGCCAGACGGCAACTCCCTTGAATATTATGTGTGGGGCGCTGTTGGGCAAGAGGCCAACAAAACTCCTTGTAATACCAAGTATGTAGCGAAGGTAAAGGACTATGGCAACATTCACCAGCTTGAACAAGAAGACTGTCCAGAAGAGTTGCAGAAGATACTGTAGTCGTCTTGAGGCCGTGGTTGAAATCAATGGCGATTTTATTGAATAAATTTACTGTTTAGTATTTCAGGATATTTTTATGTAATTTTGGTAAATATTTCGTTGAAAATGAGATGTTAATGATATTTTTATTTTTGGCGTAAATTAAATGAAAATTATCCGTCGCACCCTCTGTGTGTTGTTGTTTGTGTGTGTTCAGATCGATCTTTATAAAGAGAAAGTTACATTAGATAGATAGATAGATAGATAGATAGATATGAACATACTGTGAGAGATATGAAAAGACTGAGATAGAGAGAGGGGGAGATATGAACACACTGAGATAGATAGATAGATAGATAGATAGATAGATAGATAGATAGATAGATATGAACATACTGTGAGAGATATGAAAAGACTGAGATGGAGAGAGGGGGAGATATGAACACACTGAGATAGATAGATAGATAGATAGATAGGTAGGTAGGTAGGTAGGTAGTATTAAGGCAATAGATAATATTGATAGGACCGCGTTAATATATAAGTTATAAAGAAAGAAGAAGGAAATCGATTGGGTAGATAAAGAATTTGGAGAAGAAAGAGAAAGAAGTTAATCTTAAGATAACGTGGTAAAAGTGAATGTTTGGAAATGGCTGATGGCTGTAATGAGGTAGAAGCTGAAGTAATCATACACTGAACTTGTTTTCAGATGCTGCATTCTGATAATTACGCATTTTTTAAGCCAGTTCGTTCGAACATTTTTCATGCACAACAAAACCTCTTTGTTCTCACTGATCTATCCCTCCACCGTTGAACAGCAGGCATAAAGAAACTGAAAGAAACCAGTGGAACTCTTCAGTCTTTTTAAGAGTGTAAGATAAAATTGTTCTCTTAGTCATATTTTCATAAGCAAAAGAACCTCATCTGTCTCCCATAATGTTCTTAAGGTCGTCACTTTAAGAAGATGTCGCATGGACCCAACATATTTGCAACGACGACGTTTTAAGAGGAAAAAATAAAATAAAAATACATCTGCTATTTATTTATAGCTCCGTGATAAAATCCAAAGAAGATTCAGCAATATTACTTGTTCTGATCTACCATCTCGGCTTCAATTCCTTTCTCATTGCCGTTAGGTTGTCCCCTGTGTCTTATATATATATATATATATATATATATATATATATATATATATATATATATATATATACGTTCATGGAAATTGTTCGGATGAGCTCTACGCTATGGTACCAAAACGTTTTGAATTTAAGCGTAGTACTAGACTGGTGACGAGGCCACATCAATTTACAGCTGAGTTGGCTCAATGTAACCGTAAGTTCTATGCTAACAGTTTCTTTTCTCGAACTTCTTGCTTTTGGAACTGACTCAGTACTTTCCATCCAAATTTGATCTTCAAAAGTTTTAATGCAATGTCAATCGCTATCTACTGTCCTCCTGATTCCTATTCTTCTGTTATCGTTCCTTAGTAATGTTTCTGTTTCCTAATTCTCCTACTCTCGTGTGTCTTAGTGACTTTACATCCTTGCTTGGATTGAACTAAATAAAAACACTTATAAGCACCAGGAAGAGTCTGTTGAAATTTCTAGGGTGTATAATATGGACAGAGAGATTGGAAAATTTGATACTCACGGGACAGATTAAAGCAAGAGAGGCAGATGAAAACAGCGTATAATCTACCTAGCCAGCTTGAGTAAATACACGACGGCTCAAGGTCTGTGATAAAGGGAAAAAGATGAAATTTATTGATAGCTCCAAAGGACAGGGAATTGTAGGGAGCCATCATCAACATCCTGCAGGGATATGGCAGAATATTAACCCCTCCTCTTATAGGATATATTCGGACTTCAGTGACCGAGCAGTTTGTGTTACCGTCAGTTGAAATATATAAAATCTCTCCTAAGACAATTTTACAGGAATATAAGCTTTTCAAGTCCACTTAGCTTTTAGTAATCACAGTAGAGTAATCGATTGTAGAGAGCGGAGTTCGCATTCTAGTCGAATTATTTACATTCACTTACGTGCTAATTCTCCTGGGAAAAGTATGAATCCAACTAGTGTCCCCCAATCTATGGGTAAATAGTAGGACAGACTTCGTTCTATAGTCTTCAGTGGCAGTCTGTCTAGCGCAGAAAACAATGGTAGCCTATTGCGGAAAATATTCTGCCTAGTCAGTCATGACTGGAAAGACCCATGATCATCCAATCGTGTATCACATAGGGATACTTAACTGAGCTTTTATCGCTGTTTCCAGTTTTTACGTATGCTTCTTTTCCAACCGTTTTTATTCTTTTTCGAAATATCCTAAATATTTTCATTATATCAGTATTGTTTCTCGACTGTAGAGACTTTAGAGAGAAGAGCTAGCAGTTTCCCCCCGTAGATGGTTAGGATTAACTCGGTGCTTAAGCAGCGCAGCCTTATATGGATCATCCAATGCCATCCAGCTGCCATTCAGAGGACTAGTGGAGGAGTTCATGGTGTCACGGACAAGGGAAAGCTATCATTATAGAAACTCCAGAGATCCCAAAGTATCAGGTGCGGGAATAGAGATCAAGACTGGCAGAAAATGGAGTGCTACTAAGGAACTAGCTATCGCAGAAGGGAATCTGACGGTAAAAGCAATAATGGGTTCAGTTGCACAGGGCAGAGCAGGCCTGGGGTTGATTCCCTCCTACAAATTCGGGAAAAGCACCGTGAAGGAGCGTCAACACCTGATACAGGACGAAGTCAGAGCAGGGATGGAGGAAAAGTGGATGACAAAAATGGCAGGTTATAGCCAGCAGGGCGCATGGACCAGGTGGTATGGTGTAGATCGGCGGAAAGTGTCGTGGTCAGATCTTTGGAATACCGACTTCAGCCGATCTAGATTCCTGGTTCAGATGGTGTACGACGTATTACCAAGCGCGACCAACCTACACCTATGGGGAAAAATAGATTCACCAAAGTGCCCCTTGTGTTCGGGGAGAGGTTCACTGCAACATATATTAAGCGGGTGCAGAACAGCTCTGACAGACGGGCGCTATCGGTGGCGTCATGACAAGGTTTTAGAGGCGATAGCACTCATTATTACTGAAGCTTTACACGGTAATAAACTCATCCCAGAAAGAAGAGCTATCCGATTCGTTAGAGCAGGTGCAAAGCCGAGTAAGAAGGTTGCAGGATCCCAGTCACTGTTATCGTCCGCGTCGGATTGGCAAATGCGAGTCGATCTCGGGGAAACAATTAAAATTCCCAACACATATATCGTCCTCCAAACTCCGTCCAGACATAATCGTTTATTCGGACGCCACAAAACAGATTATTTTGCTGGAATTAACTGTCGCATGGGAGGAGCATATGCAAGAGGCATTTGAGAGAAAATATAGTAAATATGAAGGACTCTTAAATGATTGCAGGACTAAAGGATGGCATACTCGTTGTTTCCCTGTGGAGATCGGCTGTAGGGGGTTCGCCGGACAGTCAATGATACGAGCTCTTACTAGCCTAGGGATAACGGAACAAAAAAGAAGGCGGACGATTCAAATGATCCTGGAGTCCGTCGAAAAGGCAACTAGGTGGTTGTAGATAAATAGAGCTAATGCGTGGCCCAAAACTACAAAATAAGAACGTTCCCAATGCAGATGTACACACGCCATAAATGCCTTCACTAAATACTTTTAAGACTGATTAGTATATGTGAAATTAGTGTATAGAGATGACGAGAAACTTGCGAGAATGAATCTTTCGATTTGCATCCAGTCTCGTATGCAATGAGTTCTTACTGGTCTTTCGAGTAGATTTATTTTATTACAAAAACATTCTTACAAGTAATTTTTCCCTTTTATTTTTTTTAATTTTCTAAACGGAATTTTAATTTTTTCGGTTTCCTTCATGGATAATTTTTTTTTTTTTTTTTTTTTTTTGTAGGAGTAACTTATTTTAGCTAAATTTACACGCTATATTTTCTTCCAACTGTTTTTCGACATGTAAATATCTCGATCATTTATTTTGAGGATTTTTAGTTATTTCTCTTAGTTTTTAAACGAATTCTTTCCGGCAAGGATAATTTTTTTTGGTGGGGGGGGGTAAATTATTTAAAATTTACACGTGTTTTGTTTTTTTTTTGTTTTTTAACCAATACTTAACATGTAAATAGTTTGATTAATTTATTTTTAAGCGATTTTAGTCAAATGTTTTTCTCTTAGTTTTTAAAGTTGTAAATAGTCTGTCTTTTTAATCACTCTATTGTAAACGTTTTATTAAGTGTAGTTTAGAAAAGAAAAGAAAATAAGAATAAAAAAGAAAAGAAAGACCAAACAAATAAGTTTAGTTAAAAGGGGAGGTAGAGAAAGAACAAGTCGCAAGACGAGCCAATATAATAAATCGTTTGTTTTTTTTTGTTTTTTTTGTGTGTATATATGTATTTGTGTATGTGTGTATATGTATGTATATGTATGTGTGTATATATATGTATATATGTAGATGTATTTATGAGTATATTTATTGGTTTGTTTTTTTTCTATTCTTCCAAAAAACACCCATTCTTGGCCGCAAGTAGGAAGATCACTACAACCATGCATACCTAATTTATAACTTCGAATAGACCAAGTGAAGTCTTGATTGGTTGTTGTTCGCTGGGGCAACTTATATAATTCACGTCCTAAAGCTAGTGGCAAATTTTTGTTCTAGGTGCGGGCCGAATACTGATCATATTCGGTCGGGTCACCCATCGAAGAAGTCTGTTGTTTATTTAGACCCGAAACTTCTAGTGACATGGGAGCAACAACACTGCCGACGCATCTGGATTCAGCACTTAAAGGTGTATTTTAATGATAATTTCTTAGACTTACATGTGATGTCTATGTAATTTTTGCATTTTTTTTTAAAGTCCTCAAATGATGTGGGTTCTGTTATTTGCTAAAGATTTTTGTTTCTGATTATATAGCCCCAGAAAAAAAAAAATTCTTCGCTAAGACCTCCAGTTTCCATTCGCTTGAAGTCATTTTTAAATAATTGTTCCGAGAAAGCAGTTCTATACAGTTAACAGATGAGACGTTCTTGAACCCTCTGGACGCCAAGCATAAAATTCAGAAGCAAGTTTCGAAGCTATTTTAAAACATGACTCGAGTTCTTGTGGTTAAAGAAAAAAAAGAAAAAGAAAATATACTGCCCAACGCAACGTATGAGCTCACAATATTCAGTCAACCATCTAGAGACTTTTGCTTTTAACGCATATAAGAATCTGTGTTAAATTGAATACAATCGCCTTGTGGAGCTTTATAAAAGCGAATGTTCTTTCTTGCTATCTTTTTCTGTTGCCTAGAGCACCTTTGTCACTCACCTTTAACCAGTGGGTTACTCCCACATAGCTTATCCAAGAAGTCAGTAGGTGGCTCAGTTAAGCACCTATAAAAATGGGACACTCCCTTTCTTTCTCTATATCTGCTATTTTCTTTTCGTCCTAGTATGTTTTAGCGACAACACCACAGGGACCTTGTACCTGTGTAAGAAATAAGAAGATATCGTTTCTCTTGGTGACTAAAATTTCACAAACGCTCTCACACACGCACACATATACACGAGTAACACCCACACAATTTCTAACTTGTAATGTCTTGCATCTGTTGCATGTATACTCGCATATTTTCCCTCTCAATTTACACTTATATATATATATTTATTAAAGACAT